ATTTTTTTATTTGCAATTTCTAAGGATTAATTTTTTAAATCAATCAAAATCAAATACAAATATGTAATAAATATCAAAAATAACAGCTTATGATTATTATTATCGATAATACTCGTAATATATTCAAAATCTCTAATCAAGAATTAATAATTAGAATTTTCACATTGGGTATCTGGTTATTCGTATCGTAAATCTCTCAGGATGGTGTATGCTAGTTTTCGTCCCCTTCTTTTCTTTTTTTTTTGCCATTGGTTCTAATTTTAATTGGAAATGATACAATTTCTTTGAATGATGTGAAATTTCCATGCGTTTCCCCCACAAGTAGTTTTTGGTCACGCTCATTTCGTTCTTTTTTTGTTGGTCCCAATTTTAATTGAAACTGACTAAATTTCACAGTATGCTGCAAAATTTCCGTGCTTCTTCTCCACAAGCAGTTTTTAATCAACCTTCTTTCTTTTCTTTCCAATCAAATACCGTATAGACGATTCTGTTTATAGGCTTCAGAAGAGCTTGATTCAATCAGCCGTATTCTGGTTTAGTTATTTACGATATAGCTTATGGATTTGTATAGCTTATGGATGTTGCTTAAAGATTGTTCCGAGGCACCACATTTTTAATACCTGTTACTTAATATCTTAAAGTAAGAATTTAAAAAAGTGACGATAAGATAAAGTTAAGTCTTACCCGATAAGTATTGTTAGTAAGCAAATAAATTATTGTGATCCAGATATTGGTAAGTGTTCTTGAGAATATAATAACTATTGCTTGTTGTGCATCTCAACGAGTTACTTGTAAAAGTTTTGAACAATAGCAGGAAGGTTCGGAGATATATTAAATTTTATATCGACCAAACAAAGGTGGAATCTTATAATTTTATAAAAGTAGCAGAATACTTGGTGCGCCAGCGGAAACTTGGAGAAGAACAGTTGAGAGTAAGCTAGCTGAAGCACGATATACATGAAATGACATCTACACAGAAGCATCAGAGTCAGATTTAGAAGAATTATTGAGGCCCTATACCCCACTGGGAACAATGAACAATAGTAGTAGTAGTAATATTTAAAAAAAGTAATATAAATAAAAAAAAATTCCTTGTTTAATGAAATAACAAAAAAAAACCTCCTAACCGAAGGATTCTATAAAATAAGGTTAAGTTAAAAGGTGGCGAGATAAAACTGCCTGTACTTCCACTTGGTGACATCTATTGTTCAAGGTAATGCCCTCAACGTTGTGTGGGAGAGATGAGTTACAGTAATCGTTTAATCTTTGTGCATTATTTTTGTTAATTCATTTGCACTTTCAGATGAAGCTTACAGGTTCCGATAATTCCAGTGTCGTCAGGCCACTAAAAATAAGAATAAGATATTGAAGTCGCTTCATCTGTAGTCCCGGACAAAGACATAGGAAATGATAAATGAGTTTTAGGTGTCTCTCTTCATCTTTGCACCTCTTTGCGGTCCACTTGTAGGAATACGCTGCCGTTAAAGCATCGGTGTAATGGCACAGTGTCTTGTTAGTACTTAAATAAGTACACGAATTGCACGTTTGATAAAGCCCAAAAGGCTTTTCGTTTTATTCCTGCCTAATTTAAGTCATAAGTTTTTAGAAACCTCGTAATCTTTCCGATTATTTGTCATCGCGATGTTAAAGTTTGTACCGTATTTACATATTAATGTACCTTTTAAAACCTCTTCCGACAATCTCGCTCGCTATGTTGTTCCCTTCAATGTGAAGATCTCTCCTAAAAAGAGACCATATGATGTTTAAAGACAATATTTATAAATATGTATATATACTACACATAATTATAAATATATAAATACTGAAATTATCTGAAATCCTACTCGCCCACTGGAGTAAAAATCTGGTTTTAGAGTTTTGAGTTATTACAAGTACAGTGATATTGAATGGTTAAGAGTAGCTTAACTTTAGTGTGTATTGTTGAAGTCGCCTTATATATAAAATCTAATAATCAATAATTTTATTACATTTTTCATATCAAGGATAAATTATGTTTTTATTAAGGTGTTCATTTTTTTATTATTAAAAGAAGTGTAATTTTTAATTAATGTATGCCTATATTTAATAACTTAAAACATTTTTCTTTCCCAAATGATTAATTAATCAAACCTTGCAATAAATAATCACTCAGGGTGATTGACTAAATACCACAATAAATTTTTAAACCTCTGTTAAGTTAGCTTTGTTCTTATGTTGCATATATTTTACATCAATTAGTCTAAGTAGTTACTACTATTTGAAATCATTAAAATAAAATTTAATCCTATTGGGGGATAAATAGTCCCTGAGATAAGTCAAACATTCTCATTAACAAAATTAAAAAAAAAATATAGAGTGCAATAAAAATTTTGTTTTAAAAGTTATTCAAACGATTAAAAAACAATATAATAGATTCCTTTCAGATCTATATTTATAAGTGCATATAAATTAGTAATATTTAAAAGTTGCATACTTTAATAAAAAATTTATTTAACTTCATACCCATTTTATCCATTCCATTAATTCCGTCTCTGGTTCGATTGTAGTATGAGAATTTGATTAACTTTGGCATGACAGATTGAGTTGATTCAACTTTACCTGAACCGTGCGCATCAACGAATGGATTTTTTTTTTACAGGAACCAATTGTGGTATAGGGATTGCACAAAATCAATGATGGTTGGGTTTACATTCTTATCCTTGACAGTCTGAATGTTTCTTTTGTGGTTATTTTCTGAAATAATTACCGACAAGCTCCAAAAAATCGAGGAAATCATGAGGTTCTCCATTCAAATTTACAAAAGTCTTCAAATGAAATAAATAAAAATCTTATTTGATTAAGTCTTACAATTGTAGCATTCTGCGTGAATAGAGCTTTTGCCAAATACCAGCAAGATCCCACGCAGCAATGACAAAATGGGATCTTAAAAATGAACCAAAATCTTCATGTGTCAACCCGACTGTCGATCGTACTCGTGACGATTGCCCGATGGATTTTTTCGAAGTTGAGATGTCCGTTCGATATGTGATGAATACTGGTGCAATAGCTTGGTTGAACATTTTAATGATTTGTTTGTGATTCTTCTATGTACATTTATTCCCACATTATAAAAACATAGACTACATTACATATATCAAGCAATCTGCTTTAAATAGTGAAACAACATATATCCACTATTATCTATCCACTATTTCAATTGATTCGGATTATAATTGCGTTATAATACTTTTGCAACATTCTAAAATAGTCCACGTCCTAGACAGAACAATTCAATACCACGTTTCTAATATGCGGTTCAATATGTGATACTCGTGTTAATATTTGTCATCCTTCATTACAATCTCCGAAGTCATTCAATTGTTCTCATAATAGGATTTGTTTTCACATGTTTTCTGAAAGTTAGTTAACTTCACTCAGTTTCACACAGTGCCTTAAATTATTTGCTACAATGTACGTACATCCAAGTTCTTCATCGTTGATAGAAGTAGTGAGGCACGTGTCATTTAAGGAAAATATTATTTTTACACTCTTGCAATAATACAACTTAAATTTAAAAAATTATTGGAACCAGTGTGTTGTTGTAGAATGATGTCATGTACGACCACAAAGTTTAGTTTAACGTGTTGACATGTAAAAAATACATTGTGACATGTGGTTCCAAATAAATATGAGAAACAACATCTGCGTTCAGCTCAAATCGTCATAGTCGCTTACGCTCTCAACTCTTAGCCACAAGTGCAGCAACATGCGTGACTAGAACCATGTTGCAAGCTAAGTATATTTAATCCAGTGCAATGTTGCCTGCATCTATTCTTGGTTTCAACATGGAACAAAAAAAGTTTTATGCATCACATGCAATTTCCGCACCGACTGCCATTGTCACACTATAAAGCCGTCAGCATGGGATTTCCTCATTTTCATGAGATGCATTTTTTGTGAAACGATTTGGAATAAAAATTGCACATAATCATGCATCCGTTGGTGGATGGTTTTAATGTAAAAGTATTCAAAGTAGAGTAAATTGTGCATATACTTATTCCTATAATTCCATTTTAGCATCAAAATAACTCTGATCAGATAGGTTTATATGAAAATCTGTTTGTTTATCTATTTCATCCGTAAATTTCATTTATAAAACAAATTTAAATCCTAAATGAACATGGATTGTATTTTCTACTTATTTAGTTTTCTTACTATTCTTCTAAGTAGTAATTTATTTTTATGGATTTTAAGTCTATTATATCTATTATCTGTCTATTATATATTTGTATCTATTATATGCATTATAATTATTTATTTGTTAATTTAAGTAGCAATGCGACGATCCTGAGAGTGTGGTATGCGTAAGTTACCCATCATATTTGATTACCATTCCACTATCCGCAAGTAGTGCACTTCTAACTCCTTTGGCCAGATATATCACTTTGTTAATATATATATATATTTGTTTGTATATGTGTGCCATTCATTTTACTGTTATTTTGTGCATTTCTAGGCGTTGTTTAATTATTTTCTTCCAAGTCAGTTTCGCTTATCATCTCTAATAATTTTTATATTGTATTATTTGCATAGCCCCAATTTGTGTATATTTCCTATTGAAATTTACAATAATATTTCACTTTTGTAATTATCACTCGGAGCGGCAAATTACACAGTTTTATTATACTTTTGTAATTAATAATTATTACTTGTACTAAGGATAACAAAAACTAAAGACAGTCGAAATTGAAAGTTTCATATACAAAATTACGTTGCCGTAATGCCTTAGAGGTGCAAATATTTATAAGCATAGTATATTTTTTTTGCTAAATATTATTCAACAATGTGATATTAAATTGAAACAAGAAATAAAATTTCTAATAGTTTATTTACATATACAGTGTCAAAAGCTACAACCATTAAGAAAATATTATACATTGAGTGGATCTTCAAAGTTTTATTTTTACTTGCATTTCATAAGTTTTGTTTTTCTTATCTTATTTCACTTCAGAGTGGTTTGCCTTAGTTTTTATTCTTAGAAAACACTTGCACTTAAATGAGAGTATAATAAAGATTTGATTAATATATATACAAAAATATGATAAGTTAACGCACCTCGTTTTAAACATTAACAATTAGTCATTTCAGGGATTAATGCTTTAAATAGCATTGAAAGAGTCTATTCTAGATACTCTATAATAGTCACATCTGAGAAAAGAATTTTAGTGATAAGTGAATTGGCATACTGTTTGATTATTATTATTACTTGAGAGGGAATACACGTCATAAAAAATTGATGCCAACATGGACAGCATCAATAAAGTTCTGGTAAATATATATAGTCTTCACAAGACAATCACTACACATACATTTTAACGATCTGAAAAAATAATTCCTGTTAATGATAAATTTATATTCAGGGTGCAATTTTACCTTAAAAAATATACACGATTACACGAATTGCTTAAATTTAGATTGAGAGGTAAAGGAAACAGCGAACAAAGGACCTGAACCTTTTTTTTTAATTTCACAGGTTGCTTCGATTTAAAATTAGAGCTAATCAACGGAGCAATATAAACAATATTTGATGGAATCATTCAAATATGTCATTCAACCATGGAATCTGTAATCAAAATTGTGTTTAAAAATATCACTTAATACTGTGTCAAAAATTTTTTTATCAAATATTTAAAATAAATAAAAATTTAATAAAATTTAAGTCTACTCACGGTTTTTCTAACAGCCTAAAGGCTGAAGTTAAAAAAAATTAATTTAATGTGGTGGACTGTACAAACTGGAAGAACAAGAGATATAAATTCCCACCGAACGCTGTATAATATAAAATATAAAATTTTTTCAGTCAGCTGTCAAAATTAATTAATTCAAAAAAAATAAAACTTACATTTTTTTCCAGCTTGTATAGAAATCTATTGAATTTTTAGCAACAGATTTGACGGCGCTTCTTCTTCTTCTTGCATGGATTAGGCTTTTTCTTGCACTTAGGCTTCTTCTTCTTAGCACATGGATTACGCTTTTTTTTAGGGCAAGTCTTTTTCTTCTTCTTTGGACAAGCCGGTTTCTTCTTTCCACATGAGCCACACTCCATAATAGAGTCCTCGCCACTGTCCATTCCTTGGTTATGGTAGAAAAATTTTTCTCTATCTGTCAAAGCATCCCATGCCGCGCGGCCTATCTTTGCAATCTGAAGAGGCGACAGATGTTGATTGCAAACTGAGAATTTTTCTAAAAAATTTAAAAAGCTTTCGCGCATGATTACGTCTTTTTATTAAGAAATTTTTAAATCTTAAATTTACACCAGAAATTTTGAAGAGCTGAAATTTCAATGTTTGTCTAATGAAATAAAAAATAATAATGATTATATACAAAAATATTTACCTAGTCAATATTTTAAAAATTTTCAATGGTGACGTGATGTTCATAAAATTAAGTTGTAATAATAAAAAAAATTTAATCCAATATAAAGTTTTTTAAAAATACTTTTTTGGAAAATATGTGACAATCGAAGCATGCTTTTTGTTAATGTTGCCGCTAAAAAATAATAAAAAAAACCACAAAATTAGTATATAAAAGATATAAGATAATATTAGCATATGAAAAGAACATATACATATTACAATATTATTTGGCCATTAGGATGCTGTTGAAAAAGAGGACAGGATGCTTATGTACAGACTATCAAAAGCAGTAAAGCATATGTAATTCTGAGTGTTGATTAGATATACATATTATATTTAAGTCTAACACGAAGAATCTTAACATGCAATAGTCACTACTGATGATGGTTCCACTACAATGCATTGAAAGTAATCAGGTGAGTTTAGGGTGACAAGGTCTAAAGTAATCCTCGATTCAACAATGGTATAGATATAGGTATTATGACATCTGTATTTTGCATATACGTAAATCGATGTTTTTATCAATTTATTTGAAATATGAATAAAATATTTTTTTTACATGAAAAACTTTATTATATATTTTTATGTTTACCTTTTAATGCTTTAAGATAAGTGGATAATGTCGATAATCCACTTATTCCCACAAATCTTGTTTAGTTAGAAAGTCGTGACCTTAACAAATTTTCCATGAACTTCTTAGTCATAGATTTAATTGATGAAATGATTAAACCTCTTTGAAAAAGAGTAGTTTTTTTGAACTGTGCAAGTTCCGCTTGGTTGCAAAGAGCTTTTCCAAATAATTTAATTTGGTCACGATGGTACAAATAAATACGATGAATATTTCCTTTCTTAACAGGATTCATAAATATTGCAATGTCGGTTAGAGGTACATTTTTCGGCAGATTTTCAACCAATTGGCCAATATTAGTTTCATGAAATTCGATAATAGACATTTTTTATAATTTTAAAGGGTTTAAAAAAAGTCACTAAAAATTTAGAATAACTGCGCAATTTTCTTTAAATTATTTAAGTTACTTTTAAGAAAACGTTTAGTTAGAAATTTTAGATAAATATTTTATAGAAGTTGATTATTCTATTACCTATGAATACTAGATAAAGTATTAATTTTTCCAAATTATGGAACGGATTACAGATTATTTAGTGATAGCGTATTTAGGGAATCGATTAAAAAGATAGACTTAAAAGCACTGAAGAAACTTTTTAACTTTAAAGAATAACAACGTAAAAAATGTTAAAAGATTTAGTTTTAGTTTTTAAACATACATAGTATTCAAATGAAGCTCTTAAAAATAACACCATTAAGCATTTATTTTATAGAAATATATATACATATATATATTTATATATGTATATATTAATTTGTACGTAGATAAAGTTGCTGTAACGCTTATAATAATTATTATTATTATCATATTATCATTGATCGTGCATTGCGACCTAAAAGATCTATTGTGTCCCTTCGGATAAGAGTGTTTCTTCAAGGCCGATTGCTTTAATGAAAGACCTATAGAGCCTATATTTTCTAGTCTTTCATCTTTATAATCCATTAAATACCCTCTTAAGTATTTTCTTAAGATTGGGCACTCCCCAATCAGATGGTATGCAGTTTTTCTCTCTTCTCTACAGTAAATCCCTAAAATCATTTTAGATTGTGATAGTCTTGGTAGCCTTTCCCAATAGAGTTCTCTTTCTTTTTTTTATTTATTAATGAAAAAACTGACGCAAAAAATATTTTTCAGTATTTTCCCTCTCTCCCTTCTAACCCCAATCCAATTTATGAATATTTAAGATATTAGTTTGTATATTCCTTACTTTCTGATATACCATAAGTATTAATTAGTCAATTTTTAAATCAATTGTCTTTCAAAGCAAATAAAAAATAATAGATCGTTATTTTCCTAATCCTATACTAATCCTGTATTTCAATAATGTCTTTGTATAATACTACATGAGTGACATTTGTTAAGAGTGTCATAACACTACTAACGATTTTATTATTTTGTTATAATGACATACACTCTTTGGTGTACGAACTTTTAGTTAGATGTCAGAGTGTAAATATAATTGCTATCCACAATTGCCGACTGGACTTCTCTGAAAACAAAATAAATGAATCTAAGGAAAACTCAACTAATGTTATAGTTTCAGCAAAGGGATAAATAGAAGCAAATATAATTATAATTTTTAAATTAAATACAATATACTCCATATTAAATAGTCTCAAAAAGATTAATGGATTTTTATTTGTATTCTAAAATAAGACCGAATAGTCTAATAGTACATTCACACTGTCTCATTTAGGCACTTGTTCATTTATATTAAGGAATGAACGTTCACATTAGAATGAACTCATTTATGCAACTGGTAGAACTTTTATAAACTTCACTTAATAATAAATCACACAAAAACATTATATATATAATTAATATATTAAAAAATTTATGTACAGTTTACATATCAATTAATGAAAACAAAGATTTTATTAAATACTTACTTCTTCATTATCTTTGTTTACAGTTCAACTTTTGTTTGTTTACATTTTACAATAAAAATATATAACAATTATTTCAAATTTTGGTAGTTTCCCTTGTGGGAAATTTATTTTTAAGGGTTGTATTCGATATTTTTCGCCTTAAATGAGCTGATTTATTAATAATGAGCTCATTTATATGAAAAATTTTTGTATGGTAAATCATCCTCATTAGTAGCTATTAGTGACTATCCAGCATAGTGGATAAATTGCAATAAAATAATAGACGAAGCAATTAAAATTTTTTACAGACAGATTTGAAATCAATTCAAAAAATTATAACTTTGAAACGACTTCCATCATGTGTTGATTTGAATAAAATTTTTAGTAAATAGAAAAATTATATTTTAAGAAATACCAAAAATTGTTTTAAGAAAATAAGTACATTTTTAATATTAAGAATATACTTTTCTTTTTAAAAAAAATTTCAATTTCAACTCGTTTACCAATTTATTCAGTAATATTAAATTCTTCCATGATTTCCCCGGACCATCCAAATAGTCATATGAAGCTATTTCAGATACAATATATATTTTTCAATGTTTTCTTCTCCTTAGTTTCATTTCGTGAATCAATTCACTTATTCGTCTTTCCAATTTCATGAAATTTACTTTAATGACATTTTGTTTTTGGTTCAACACATCGGAGGATATAAGAATATTACTGACATTTGTGCGTTTTCTTGTTATTTGAGCTTAAAACGTTAGAGATACTTATTTGTCTTTGTAGAAGAGTATTTAAATGCATTAAAAATTTAAGCTTTAGTATTTTCATCTAATTCAATTTTATTTAAAATAAAATTTAATAATTAAAATAAAATAAAGTATATAGCTGTATAAGAGTAGGGTATATTTTTGTTATCGCTATTTTGATTATAGTCTACAGTCATCTTCACGGTATCAGGAAATATTTAATGTTCAAGTTAATACTTAGTTTCCAGATTCTAGTAGTGTAACCTTGCGAAAGAATAAAAGCATCTTTGTCTTTTCAGATATTTTGTGTTTAAGATTTAAGATACAAACAGAAGTTTTTCTATGTCTTTAAACAAAAATGTAATGACAGTATCATTCTCTTAGTATAGATTAAAACTGAACAATAGCAGATGCTATTTTACAAATTTAACAGATTTTCTGATTAATTTTCTATTTAGCTTAAATGGCAATTAGTCATCAAGCCGAACGGTCTGGCCAGATGTCTTGTTATGAGACTTCAGAGAAACTTATATCTGCTACAAATGAAAATCCGTACCAATACTGAAGTTATTGTAATTTAATATATCAAATGATTTTGTATTAAAGATCTGGTTCACACAAATCCATTATTAATTAAGTTCTTACAAACACATACGCAATGCCGTTTTTAGTTATTCCTAAGTGATTTGGTATTAACTTGTTCTTCTTGTTTTTGAGTTAGAGCTATTACGCACTTTTACTCTATAATGGCTGGGGGGCTTATCACTACCCCACACTAGGCTTTAACTAGGCTCAGAAATCGTATCACTTATTTGTCTTTTAGTTGATGATGGACCTTAAATCAACATATCTTCCTGAGAGTCCAGAAGTGGACTTGAGGATTGTTAGGGCGGGGTTAAGTAGCGTATCAACTTTAGTGAATAATTTTAGAGTTCTGTCTCTGATATATTTTTTTACTGAGTCAATCCTAAGATCTCTATGTATGTCTGTTGATCTAATATACCATGGAATCTTAAACAGTCTTCTTAAAGCCAGGTTTTGAGCTATCTGTAATTGCTTTAAGGTAGTATTTGAGGCCTTGCTATATGTAACACATTCGTACAGTAGTGCTGGTCTAATTACTTGCGTATAAAGCAACTTTCTGTTTTTAAAGTTGAAGTGATAATTATTAAGTACTAACTAGAATACTACAAGATTTAATACAGCTAGTAGCTGTTGTATGACAAATTTCGTAAAGAGAAGAATTTTAAGAAGGATAATGCTTTGATTATTTATAAACATAAGTACATATACTATTATACGTTTTAAGAAGTTGAATTCAAATGGCGTAAACTTTGGATTGTGAGTCTTTTGTAGTATTTGTAGTATGAAATATAAGTCATTATTATAAGATATATATTATATTATTGCTAGGAACATTATAGGAGAGTGTACTTTGTTTCACACAATTAAAGCAATTTTCCTAAGACATACATTCAAATATCTTGTTAAAGTTCTACGCACATATAAGTTGATCTCCATGAAAACAACTAGCAATCAAAATTTTTCAGATAATGTTTTCACCCATGCAGCAAAAGTCCTTGAAGTTATATAGATAGGTAAATCTATCAATTGAATCCATTTTAGATAGACAAACGGTAAAGTGAAGTACAATATAGATAAGTACCTATCCTTAATAAATGAAAATTAAACACAATTTTAAATCAAATGACTAATAATTTCAATGCTCAAATTAGTTAATCATAGTCCTTAATGAATTAAATATTTATAAATCAATATATTTAAATTAAACTATCATTCCAAATATCATTCCAATGTAATCAAACTATATGCTTCTCATGGCCCACATCAACAAGCATTAACGTAATGGATGAAACTGTAAAAATATTGAAACACATATTGCCTGTGTTTATTTGTTGTTTCTAAAGTATCTTAAATGCCATTGACATCAATAACCACAAATTTAATGTAGTAAATCTACGTGCAAATGTATGTGTAAATATCTAAATATATGTCTAAACGTAGATGTGTATATTTATTTACACAAATATGTATGAGAAAATATATATAAATAAATGTAGCTAATGTATGTCAATATTTTGTATAAAATTCGGATTATTAGAAAACATTAAGGATTGTGGTGCAGACCAACTGACCGCAAATAATGGCACAAGTAACACCTTTCCTAATAAATAATCTTGGTCCAGTGAACTGTAACTCTTCGTATAAAATAAATAAAGTGAAGGTGTGCTTAAAAGGAGCAGGACATATTTTTTATGTAAACAATATGGGTTTGCACATGTATCCGAGTGTGTCATTTAATTAGCAACCTGACACATTTGAACTTTGTCATGTCAAAGATTAAAAATTACATTTTAGCTTTATTAGCAATTTAACTTATGAATTTAATCCGTGTGTTTAAGTTGAATTATTAAGGTCATGATATTATTCAAACATTGGATTAGAGCTGCTATGAGGCGTTCTTAATAGTTTTCTTGTTAATATGCAATTCGAAATTAGATTATATGCAAAATACTCAATAAGCAGATAAAATCGATTTAAATAATAAAACTAAATTAAGTAAATCTCTATTACTTAGAAAAATATAGATTATTTGCATCATATCTTCTCTTTTTGACATTTTGTTTATTAAGATTAATTGCCCTGTGGCTGGTTGGTAATACATATTTTAGCAAATTCTATGCAGCGATGGGAGAAACGATACCGAAAAGGTGGAAGAAAGTCTTCTTAATAAAATGAATAAAAAAGAG